CACTTGATATTATAAAAAAAATAAAATAAACAGAGCTATCTAAAAATACAACATTAAATTCATGAATCTCGACATCTTTAATGACTCGCTAGCTACTTTTAAATGTAAAATATATATTATTCAAAATTCTGACTGATCTGTTTTGTATCACATAATTTATTTAAAATCTTATTCAAACGTAGCAATTATATCATTTTTACTTTTTCTTTTTTCACTGTAGACAAAATCGTCATTATAAATGTAAAGAGTAATTGAATCGTCCACTTGCGAACAGCGCTATGTGACATTTTTAATGATTTTTAGTTAACGGCGTGAAATGTTCTGCATGTTAAATTTTAAAATTAAAAAGAAGCAAAAAGTCTAATACTGTGATTATGATTTTTCATGTTGTTTATCTTATTTTTGTCACAATTTTCAGATAATTAAAAAAGGACAATTTAAAAATTAGTTTTCGGAACAATATTTTTTTAATCCACGCACCATAACGCAATTTGCTAGTGGACTATTTAATTGGATAATTAATTGTCATACATTCTTGAATCTGAATAACTCGCTGTGTTAGCCAATAAGTATGGAGATCTACCTTCTAACTTTATAACCGTTGTTATCCATCATGTTGGCTTTCCTATACCTATAATAAATAAATAAATAAGAAAAACTGTGTTCCTTTAATTAAGACACGTTGTTATTTGTAAGTAATTAATTCTCCTAATTGACCCGTCCGATTGGCAATGTAAAAATATATATGATTTTTATTTTTCACATTTGGTCGGTTTGATTCCCCGATGAGACAGGCAACATTTTAAAAATTGAACTTTGAATGCCATGGAATATCTATGTCCCAGCCGTAAGACGCCCTGTATGTATGTAGGCAGGGTATTGTTGTTGTTTGTTACCAACCAATACACTAACCAACCAGTCCAATACACAGGAAACCAGTCCAATACACTAGTACTGGGTTGGCCAAATCAAATCTTTTTTATGTATATTAAATAACTAGTTGTTATGATGTATAAATATTAACGTACTTTAAGTGAAAATGTTACTAACAATTTATAAGGGTCTATGCCTGAAATTAAGAATTTCTATTTATATACAGGCTGTCAAAAAATTGCTGCTCTAAACGTAATAGTACTCGTACTGACACATATACATATAACAGGTCCGTAATATGTTACACGATCATTTCTGTTTTATCATCTTTCACAACTAGGCAGCTGTAAGTACAGAGGTTTCACATTTAATATAAATACATAATATGGATTATGCCTTAAAGAGCCAGTCAAGGTATATGAACGTATATTTCCAAGATAGTGTACACCCAAATATCGCTCGTGTGCCATTAAGTCGACCTGTACCCAACACATTAGCGGGGAAATAGCCTTCAGTAAGACGTTTAATAAAATAGCTCAGCTGTGGACCCTATTTCCTTTGCGGAAGGAATATTATCCTTCTTAAATGTGGGTCCCCGGGTCGGGAAAGTCTTGTCGCTTTCCCCGGAGATTATCCTATTTTCCTAACTGACATAATCCTTTCGGCCTAAAAAAGTTTTATCCGTTCGTCTTTCAAATACTTTATTTTGTCGCTGCCTTTTCATCACAATACGGAACAATATTTTTTAAGGTCAAGAGTTTGAACATGAAAAATTAGTGAGGTTCTCGGATAAAACATCGAAGATCACAAGATACTAGAGGGAGGTTTTTATTTATTTTACCCATGATTGGCCTAAGCTCTTTCTCTAGTCGGTATAATAAATAAAGTAGCCTGGTCTAAAATGTCGCATCCAATAAAATGTAAATTGCCGGGAAGTTATTTACAGTACGCAACTAACTTCAGTGTCATTTTGTAGTGCTAGGAAATGGAGATTGTTGTGCGGAAAAATGTTCAAAAATTATTGAAAACCAAGAAGCTGCGTAAGTCTGAACATTTTTATGTATTTGCTTAAATCTTTTTGGTATTTTCAAATTGTGACTGAGACTAAACTAAGCATATTTTTTGAAAACTGATTTTGTATCAAACCGTTCAAAACTCGTCTAGAGGTCTAACTGCAAACGATTCTGATTACTTGCAACTTATGAGGTTAGTGGCAGTTTTCTTCTGAAATGGCTGAAGTGTGCAAGGGTACGCAACTCGATGTGTTGCAGGAGTCCGCGCGCAGTCTATAGTATGTCTGAATAAAAATTCTGTCGCTGTGCCTCGTTCTAAATCAACTGAAACTTTTCGCGACAGTCCTAGTATTTTTTAGCAGACCTGAGACATGTGCTGCGAATATGAAATATCGGCTGCAAGTGCACCGAAAGCATTGTAGTAGGTACCGGGTATGCCCGTGCTACAAGTAGGTTCTTCTCAGGTCTCCACGTGCAAAGGCCCATACATAACGAGCCAAACTTCTCATTACCAGTAGGGATAGCACGACAGGGCGCGAATTGCGCGAGTGCGACTTAAAGCGCGACATACTGCTATTCTCGCACAGAAATCTCGCAGTTTATATCGGTCTCGCGCAAGTCGCGCCCTATCGTGCTAGCCATACAAAAAAGTATGGAGGTGATTTGTGCAACCGATAAACGATATCCTATCAAAAAAGGTGTTGCGTACTCTTGCCGACGCACATGCGTAACTACTCTTACCCATAGAACAGTGTGAGAGTATACTAATCCCATTTTGCACTTTTTTATTAATTGCAACCACTATTAAATAGAACTACTTTTTACGTTACTACGTAAGAGTCAGAAAAGGACACTATTAAAACAATAGCTGATTTTCTAACACTTTTTGTTTTCATTTTACACCGACTCAAAATTAAGTGCGTCGTCTTAACCGCTCACGCGATGCGCTCCTCCTACCGCAAAATGGCGGCTATTTGGTTTTGCAAATTAGAAAAGCATTCAGTTTAAATACAAGTTTTTATAAATAAAAATTATTATTCTGAATTGCTAAATAAATACCCCCCGTACTATCAACAAAAACATCTCAAATAAAATGCAGTAATACACCGCAAATCCTGCACTTAAAAAGCACTAATGAAATTTTTGGTGTACTTGGATAAATATGATAATATTCCGTTTGAGTGAATCTAACGTTTACCATGAAATTACTCCGTAAAGTATAGTTTATAAACATTTATATTCAGGGTAAACTTAAAATACGCTACTTACGATATGTTTTCAATAAATAAACACCGAAATCACCAGCCCAAACATCACACACGATTGTCGTGACGTATTTTTGAAGTTGTTTATATTTTTTAAATGACAGACCCAGGCATTAAAAACTTTATGGTTTGCTAGAGTAGTTACCGAAATAGCAATTAATATTAGTTCTTTTATCTGTTATAACTTCGATATCCGATAAATCGGTATAAAATCATCACCGGCACCTGTAGGTGTGGTATGCGTCTAAGGCTGCATGTATCGCGTGAGCGGTTAAACCAGACTACCAATTAGGTGTCCTTTACATTTTCTGAACTTTATTGGAATAACTTGACCTCGCTGTTGCTCGTCTCCACATGCCACTAATTTCATTATATTTTGGGATAAAATTATCAAATTAGAAAAATATAAATATGTAACTATATATATATGTTATATGCAAATATATAAATGCAAACAGTCATGTTGTAGGGCTCGCGATCTGGTTCATGTATGTGGTACCACCAGCTGACGCCATAAAAGTTTTTATTGAATTATTAATATTAATCTATGATGTTCCGCTGCTGGGCAAAGGTTAACAAAAGTTATTTTAATTTTTTTTAAATATTTTCTGCTTTTTTTATCTTAAGCTTCGTAGCTCATTTTCTTTTTTGTACTTGCAAATACAAAAAAGAAAATACTACGATTTTCAAGCATTAGACTTTGTTGCAATATTTGTGGGCAATTTCATTTATTTTTGTTGATCGTATTGTTTTGGACAAATTGTATGGACGACGGCATACCTGACTACACATTTTTGTTCGAAAATCGCCTCCAGTGCAACGGAACAAAATACGTCAATGTGTAGCTTGATGTGCTGGCGTATGTACAATTAGATCATTATGTCAAATAAAATGTTGTTTCATTCCGATAGACTGATGTACGGACAACGGTACATCAGACTACTCATTTTTGCTCGAAAATCGCCTCTAGTGCAACAGAACAAGATACGTCAATGTGTAGCTTGATGTGCTGGCGTGTACCTTTTAGTGAAATATGTATGTTTTTTGTCAAAAATTTGTGGTTATACGTTTGTTGTATGCCAGAAATATTAGATATGTATTTAGATGTTAGATATGCATTACGATAAAATGTTATGCATTAATTTTAGTACGCAGTGCTTAATTAATTATTTTTGATGTACATATTACTTATGTACATATAACTGCCTCCGTAGCCGAACGGTAACCATGCCGGACTGCCACGCAGAGGTCCCAGGTTCGATTCCCGGGCCGGGAGAAATAGTTGTATGGCCTACAATTATTTCTCTCGTGAGTTTGGGTGTAATTTGTGGTTGTCTATGTGTGTGTCCATGGCACCCGCGACACAGGGTTTCCCTAGTGCGGGGCTATGTTGAGTGTGTGCGTGTGTGCGTTATTATTATTATTTTGGTGGGCAATCAGTACTTTTGTTAGGGAAGCGGCATATTAGGTGGTGAAAAAACTTGATTTTTTGGTGAGCGGTTAAATACTACCCTTTTATTTAATTCAAACTCCACTGATCAAACTAAGCTCTACTACACAGGTTGCCGTATCCCATAACAAATTAAAAAATAGTAATACACTATAAAAATGACTATTGGTTTATTATATTTTTAATGCTTTTTAATTAACTGACTTAACTATCGATATTCCCGAGATTGAAAACATCAGTCTCGAGTCTCGAAATTCCCAAAAAATTGTCGAGATTCTCGAAATTTTCGAGACTGAGATTCCCAGAATGAAAGCCCTAGTCAAAAGTCTTATTGTTGGTACAGTACAATTCTTTGGTATAATAATTTACTTAGTTAAGTTTATTATTTTCTAAATACAGAGAGACGAGACGGACTCAAAGCGGCTTACCATCACGAACGCCACAGAAGTAGCGAACGGGCGGTACACATGTGAAGTGTCCGCCGACGCGCCGTCATTTCAAACAGCTCAGGTCCATGGACTTATGTATGTTGTAGGTGAGTATTAATACATTTATGTCATATATAGAGTGTAAGAAACGATAAGTACATACATAATACAGCTGGTAGATCGTCACTTTAGCATAAAATTACTGTTTAGGTAACACAATACATTTACCTATTATATCTAAATAATAATATTGTTAGTGGAAAGATCAAAACCGTAATACGCCATATAGAGTACCTTTTTTTTTTTTTTTTTTTTTGACGGGGGGGAAATCTTTATGGATACCCCTGAGCCCAGGGAGACTCAGGGGTTATGTGGGGACTCTCCCTCCACACTGGAAGGCCTACCCCACTAAATCCCCCCCGGGTTTCCCTCTCGCCGGTTGAGTCGGCGCCGTGGGATCAGTGAACATTCACCACGACGCCGCCCGGGCCATATAGAGTACCTACCTTATTAAAACGATTTACAAAAAAATACCACGTACGCCTGATGCCAAGCCTGTATTGACAGTGCCACTCAGAGTTTTAAATCTCAAAGATCTGAGAGCCACTGCCCTGCGCCCGTCACCCTGAGACATAAATTGAAAAGTCCCATGTACCTGTAATTTCACCAGCATCCTTTTCCTTCCACACAAGAACGCAATAATGATCACATTACTGCTTGGCGGCAGAAATAGGTAAGGTGGCACTTATATGATACTTTCCAGAACGAACATTTTCACAAGGAGTTCTACTGCTGCGTATAGTAAGTAAGTTTGGTCAAATTAAACACAATGAAGGTCATTTTTGCACCAAGCCTAAAGTTGAATAAGTCAAAAAATCCATCTAACAAGAAGATAGTGGCAAATTATTGGATTACTAAAGTGAAAAAAAGTGCTCAGATCACTAAGAAACTTAGTCAGGTTGATATAGAGATCAAATAACATACATGATTAATTTTCTCACAAAATGGAGTTCTACACTTTATATTTCCACTAATGATACATCTCATGCTCAGTTTGGATTTTCCACAGGCAAAATGTACAGTTGTACAGGCCACAGTACACCACCGTCATTTAATCAAAAGTAATTACTCTACGGAGTGTTTTAAGTGTTTTATGTTTTTCTTGGATAAGCAGTTGTGCGACTGTTCAAACATATATAACTTCACATGGGGTAGGCAGAGACAACAGTCAACACAACAACAACTTGCTACGGTCCTGACCATTTTTCGCCTCATCAACACGCATCAATGCTTTCATACGCGCTCCTCGGTTAAGAGCACTCTTGACCTGGCCTTTCAGGACGTCCTCAATTTGGTCGTGACAAGTCCGCCTTGGCCGGCTCTTACTAACTTGCCCGATCACACTTGCCTTATAAATCTGTTTCGTCGATCTTCTTTCATACATACGACAGAGTGTATATAACCTCAAATGGCTTTGGTCGATTCCGCATAACAGAGGAAGTGTTGAATCAATTACTTTGAAAAAAAAATATAGTAAAATTGACTATATAAAGTGTTCACTATCGCGATTCTTAAAAATTTTCACGATAGAAAAAACACAAACTTACCTCGAAATTTAAAAGAAATTCGCTGAATTCAATAGGTACTTTACATATACTAATGATTTTTTTTAAACTAAATAGTACACGTGTACTATACGATATACATTTTTCTCATGGCTTTAGTTTAGTTTGTAAAAAAATTAATTCTGATATTACGGGAAAAATTAGAATTCGTGCTAAGGTAGTATCGACTCTTTGGTGACAAAGCGGGAAAATGCAACTTACTTCAATTACGATTAATCATATTGAAATTTATTAAAAGCCATGATAGCCGTGGTAACCTGACGCCTCTCAAGCAGAGAGCGTGGATTCGAATCCGGACTCGCGATTCTGAGTTTCTCGGAATTTGTGTGCGAAATTTAATTTGAAATTTACCGTGAGCTTTTCGGTGAAGGAAAACATCGTGATGAGACCTGCATGTCGAAGAACGTTCACAACTCTTGGAAAACGAGTAAAGTCCCCAAACCGGACTACGACCTAAACACTCGCCTGAGAGAAAACCCGTGCTCAGCGGTAAGACGTGTATAAAAGGTTGATGATGATGATAATATTGATATTCACATTACTTATGTCACAAAAGCTATATACTTGTGACAAGTATGTCACGATCGAATAAAGATGTGAACCATTGTATTTGTGTCTGTTTTTTACTATTTATCACTTTTAAATACAACCCTTTAACATCTGTGTTACTAAAATCAAAAAGAAGTAAAATTTGCGTCACGTATGTCGAAAACGCTCCATTTTTCATAAAGTATTGAGAATTTACTCTTATATTTTTTGTGACGGCATCAATACGCAATTGGCAAAATTGAAAATATTTCTTGCAAAACTGCCTATATCAGCCTGCACGTCGAAGAAGGTTCACAACCGTCACAACAGTCGGAAAATGTGTGAAGTTTCCAACCAGCACTCACTCAGCGTGGCGGATATATATAATGCTAATCTTGCAGTCATGTCTGTGGTGAATTTTGTTCAATAGAAGTTTCGAATCATTAGGATGTAATATTAAAGTAACCTAAAAATTATTAGTAATTCATTATTTATGAAACTGTGTCAGCCCTAACGATTTTTTTATTTGAAGGGAGAGATTGCAAACATTCGAATTCGAGTAGTAATTGAATTTCAGAATCGGGAATTGATGCTGAATGGGTTACGTAGTACATTAATATAAAATAAAATTTTGCAGTAATATTAATAGAATTCAAAAACTTTATTCAATTACTTTATTCATAAATAATACATATCAATAGGTACTTTGTAAGCTTTACAATAATTGGTATTACTTCTAGAGAACCCAATTATCTATTTACCTATTTAAGCGAGCAGACCATAGCAAAGCTAACCTAAATAATAAGCATTAACAAAAATGTTCTTTCCACTTGCCATTATTGGTTACCTAGCAACGTTTTATTATTAAACATTCTGCTACGAAATTGGCTATAATATAGTAAATAGAAAGATTCGCCAGTAATATATGTGAAACCGTGGTAACTGGGCGGTCACTTTCGCATCGTGTAACCGGGAGCTTAATATTGAGATACAATGTAAACGTGCGGCCGTTGTTGGCAGTATCAACCTTATTGTAAGAGCAGTAAATTAATTTATGTACGCGTTGCGGCAGCACGTGTTGAACAGTGTTTGAATATTTTGTTAATATTGCTCTACTTATTGTATTGTTACATGATTACCTCTAATGCGATCGATAAATTATTAAGCTCATAGAGACCGTATTGGAATTTACCTAATTTATATTTTATTACAAACGTGTTGTAATTAATATTTTATACCCAACTTAAAACTTTTATTACATAATTAATTTTATAACGTGGAGGAATTTCTTTCGAAGAAATTGTAATTTTATTTATATTTGACGTCATTGTGTTTCCTCTATTATTTTCATTCTTTTTTGTAATATAGTGACATTGATAATATAAAGTAAATGATTCTATTCTGTCCTCTTCTTGTCTGTGGTATTTGGACATCGCTACAAATATCTTGAACGTTAACTTTTATTAGCTTAGTTCCTCTTCATGTTACGTTATTGTCATCATCCTGTTTATGAGTTAGGCTCTTGTCGGTGTAGTCTCCTCCACTCCTCACGGTTCATAGCCATCTCCTTGACCTCTTCGTAGCTACTCTCTTTCACCTTCTTCTTAATTTATTACAATACGCCATTCTTAGTCCTCCTCCCTTTCTTTTCTATTCTATCTTCCCCTCAATTATCACTCTCACAAATTCTTCATTACGTAACAAATTATGTCCAAACATTTTTCCCTTTCTGCTCTCTAAATATGCGTCAAAAGATTTCTTTCTTCCCTAATTCTGAAAAGAACTTCCATATTTATTACATCATTTTCATACATCGAAATTGTCGCATTGTTAATATCATATTTCAAATGTTATGATTCAAATCCTTTCACTTATTAAATAATAACAAAAATTACGATGCCAATGTTTAACGACTTCGACTCTCAGTCCAGATTTTTGCAGAATAAAATGTGTTTTTGAATCAAATATCGGTCAGTTGATAATTTGATTACTTGTCCACAGATCTGCCCACTTCAGACCCGACTTTAACAGGCATCAAACGCCGATACAAACCCGGCATGAAGCTAAAGGCGGAGTGCATCAGCCCAAACTCAATGCCAGCTGCGAACCTCTCCTTCTTCATCAACAATGAGCCGGTAACGTAATAAATAACTTTGTTTTTTATATTTTTATTCGGTGCTTTAATTTCGAAAACTCATTTATTATTTATTTTGTGAGATACAGATCTGAGTTGAAAAACTAACGACAATTTGACTACGGACCTTGAAAACTAGTAACAATACCGATAGGTCTTTTGATAGTATCATTAGATAGCATAATTGACTAATACTATTGATTGTTATCGATAATATCGATTGTATATCTACAATCTATATTATCCATAATATCAATAGTGTTGGTATGTCATAGCAAACTTTCTATCGATATAATTGCCACTTTTAATACTGTTGTGCTATCGATGATTTAATAACTGGAATATTATTGCCTTGCAAGAACAGCAACATCGTAAGTAAGTAATTAGCAAATAACCAAAAAAAAAACTTATTGAAATTATGGACGGACAGTACGTTTTATTTAATGCAATATCAGTATCGATAATAGCGATACTAAAGACTCTACGGGCAATCAATCCATATAGAACATGAAATAACAACGGATAAGTGTTAGCTGAAAACTGTTAACATCTGTAAAAAGCTTGATTACGCCCAGGTGGGCGTTCAGGCTACTGGTGATACAACAGCATACTAAAGGATGTAATCGGTCCCGAATTATAGATAACACGAGTAGCCGATGCACTGAGAAGCCCTTCTTTCTTATTGTAGAGTGTCTGTGGGTAGCGGTCCTGATCGGCATTACAATGACGAGAGTGATGGGGTCGATTCCTAAGGACTTCCCTGGGTTGACAATTCCTATAAACGCGTTCTCACAGTAGAGGTCAAAGTAGATTTTCCACGTTCGTTTCTCGAATCGTGAGGAGCGTTAAATGTATATAGAGGTTGGAATTACACAGAAGGTGATTGCTAGCGTGGTTTGCCTGTACGTAGATGACACAGTCGTGGGTCTTGATAGGATCCAAGCTGTGTAATGTCTCACTTTAAAAAACTTGGTCTGCGTATCGAAGGGATGGAGACAGCTCATGGGAAATTGAGCGCAGGTGTGCACTGTTTTAACGTAGTCTTAAATTTTAAAGTTTTCCATAAGGTGTACTTGCAAAGTATTTACCTGTATTTTTCAATGGGTTTTGGCAAATGAAGAAGATCTCCGCGCTTTTGTTGAGTTTGACCTAGGCGTGTTGTGTGTGATTGAAAAGCCGTGGAATGTAGGTTAAGACTGTGCGCGGAGTAGTAAACAGATATACAAGGAGAAAAGAAGGAGGCAGTATACAGACCCGTATAGGACTCCGATTGTAATAAGGAGAGAGAAAGACATCGTCAACTTGAGAGTGGAATTAGACGCTTGACACAATTATAAATACGAGACGATTATACCTACAACTTATATAGTAAGTCGTTGTCTCAGACTTTATAAAAGGCTTTTGCCATATGATCAAAGAGGGTGTTGGTGGAAATGAATTATGACTTATTGAAGCGTTTTGAAATGTGCTCAACTAAGTGGTGCAACTGCCGCGTCATGCGGTATTCTTTCATTTCGCTGTAACCGATCCGAGCGTTACCTACCTACCTACCATAAGCCAACCTAAGAAAAAAAATTTAACGTTTTATTTCTGCCACTACTATAACTGAAATAACAACGTGGGTCTTGAAACCCTCCCACAGTTCGCTTGAATGTATAAGAATTAACGTTGCATTGTAAGCGATATTCGTAGTATGAAGTAGAGTATTCTAACTGTATTCTACCATGGCTGAACGGTTACGATGCTAATCTGCCACGCAGAGTACCGGGTTCAATTCCCAAGCCGGGCTAAATATTTGTATGACCTACATTAATTTCCTATAGTGATTTTGGGTGTAAGTACAGGACCGGGTTTTCCTGGTGCGGGGTTTTGAGTGTGTGCGTTATTTATTTATTATTTAATTTTACTACATTTATTGTAACTTTACTGCTTTAATGTGTTGTGCGGGACAAAGGAGTGAAATGATACTCATAAAGACGCTGTATACATAATCTGTTTACAAATAAATTGTTGAGAAATATACAGAGTGTATTTTTAAATTGGACGGTAATGTGGAAATCTGAAACCATACAATTCACAAGGAACTTGTCTTAGGAACCATTTAGTCTTTTGTTTGTGAAAACAATTTCGGCTTAGTAAATTTTTTAGTCAAGTTTGTGTTGTCAATAAAAATGAATAAAGATAATCTTGTATATCTAGTCTTCTATGGTTTCAGATTTCCCTATACTGCCCCATATAAAAAACACTCTGTATGCTTCATGCAATTGAGGTCGCGCGTACGTCATTAACTTTGTAGTAAAGTGAAATTTTGAAATATCGCTCAGTTCCCCTACACATAGATTAAATAAATTATGTCAAAATTAATATTGCTACATGGTTTGTGTTCTGCATGTATATATGTGTCAACTTACACAGTGACACCGTTCCGAGAATGTTAATAATATACTTACTATATATTTTGTGCATCGGAGGGGACAATTTATTTAACAAAGATTTATATTTATTATATGCCCTTATATGCTCAGTGTAGTTACAACATTATCACTAAATGTGCAAAGATAAACCCTAAGTGTCACTTTAACATTGAAAACTCTCACATTTTATATCCAATGAAACAACAAAACAATTTTCGGGGGAATTGAAAACAATTTACCAATTTATATTAAAAAAAAAAAATATAATTTATATAATACTAGAGCTGGTTACCTGCTTTAGAATTGCAGACAATGGATCGTTACAGAACGTTAACTGTAGGGGTTACACTAGTGGTGACTTTTTAGAGGTTGACTTCGTTCACGTTAAGGGTCTATGCTAGCTTTCTTGCTCATAAACTTTGGGTGGTAACAATCGAATAACATCGACTACAATTCCAAATGTTGTAAAATATATTTTAATACAAGTCGATGATGATAGAAGTCGTTTTCCGAATTCGTTTTGGGATCAGAAAAGTTACCTAAAGTAAACTAACTAACTAAGGGTAACTGCACAAACAGCGGATGCACTTTTTGGGCTTAAACTGTCCTTCGACAAAGACCGCCACCACCTTCGCGAAGATGCAATTCAGATGTTTAACGTACGTGACCTACATACACTAGACAAGATTGCACACTTGAACACAATTTAAGTCACGCATTTGCATTTGACAGCCTAAATACTTAATGAAAGTGTCTATCGTTTACATATCAAGGTCTTGTAGACTGGATGCATAAAGCTGAGAAGCGAGGTTTGTGAGTTCACACCGCGATTCCCCGCACCTCGCCCCTCATTTGTCTGCCTCGGCTGAGATGTCTTGCTGACCCCTCAACGTGATTACGCTGCTGTTGCCGATTCTAACCGACTCAGTGCAACATCACAACCCAGGCGAATCCAGAAGGGGGAGAAAAAGAAACAGATACTCATCTCTGGATCTGTGTCGTCAGTACCACCGAGAAAAATGTAACCAATGCGACGAGGACGGTTTCAAAAAAAGGTGGAACAGAAAAATAAGCCGTAACCTTGGTGGCACCACCCCGACTGGCCCTAATCATTTACTGAGTCCAACGATAACGACAACGTAATTATACGGCAACCAGTGATACCGATAACGTGGCACGGCTTCATTACTTCACAGTCTGCGGATATTGTGGCGTATATACGGGTGAAAGCCAATGCTACCCTGAGAGTCGAGCAGTGCGGGATCTCGCCACAATGTGAATTTTAATTCATTTTTGTTAAGAGTACCGACTCAACATCTGTCGACCTTCATGAAGTAGGAGTTTTGGCTGAAGGGTGTCGTGTAAGTACCGACGGCTCCGAGGCCGTCTTTGCGTCACACGTCGCAGACAATACGTGGAAATAATTAGCAATTAGTGTTTGATTATACTGTTATATATGTTAGTCTATAAGGTATGTATTTATGGGTCTTTTTAACCTGAATATAAATTTTAAAAAATGCGTATTTAGTTTGAGTAATTGAGATAGAGTGGATTAATGGATGTGACGATGATAATGATGATCGATTTCTTTCCCTTTACAATTTCCAACCTTCTTCTGGTGAAATTTGCACTATGTATCTGATCTACATCACAATCGAACTATGTGTATATGGCAACAAAAAATCTGTAGCTTTTTCGTATCTTACTTTTAGTTAAGAATTTGCTTTTCGTTGGAAAACCTTTTGCGAATGGTTTTTCTGAAATCATCTCTCAGGTTGCAGAGTACTTTGTTCGATATGTGAATATTTCATTCGAAAATAAATCTCGCCCCTAGATTAAAACGAATCGTTCTTGTGCTGAGTCATTCAAACAGACCGCTTACTAGACAAGGGTGAATGCTCGTTCCTGCACGGCTCAGAATGTTTGGACTCGAAATAAAACATTCAGTAAAGCCGGCACGTTCAAAAAATAGGCTTTGCATAAGGTCCATTTTAGCCACTTTTTCTGACTGATTTCATTATAATCTTGTAGAACAGTGTGCCTATGTTGTCTTCAGTGTCGACGCTCCAATACTGTTAATCCCCAGGGATCTGTTCAAGTTCCCTCAATAAAGCCGTTTGGTGAAAGACAGATAAACTGCATATAGCCAGTACTCATAAAATGGAATCATTCTTATCTCTGTACCATTTAAACTCTTAGATTTATATCTTTCAACCAATTAAATTTCCTGATGAGTGATAATAAATACTATCCACCCGAACATAACGTAAATATTGACATGACTGATTAATGAATTATAGTTTTTAAGAGGAGAAAAGCCGAGTATTACTTAATTCGTATTAAAACTAATCTGGGGGCTTACCATAAACTTTTAAGAAACAATAAATCTTATTACAAGCTTTATAAGCGACATTACTCATATAATACCATAACAAACCCTGAAATCTAGTAATCTATTTCTTTTAAAGTGATGGGAAAGAACGAATGAAGTCCTTGTGAACGAGTATCTTTTTTAAGACGATATGAGAACAATAATACTGGTGAAAACTAACGCGGTTATCACACATTATAGTATAAAAGTAACGGGACTTACTCGCCTAGTATTTTAGTCGGTAGCGGTCCGACTAGTTTCAACCATAATCAATGGTCTTCATCAGGGGCTGAGTGCAACGTTCTCGACCGCGTCACGTCTAGCACTAAAATCTAGTCTAAAATATTACGCGAGTAAATCCCGTTACTTTTATATTATAATAATACTGGTTTTAAAAAGTCGCGTCTTGGAGCAAATTAAGAGAACGAATAATGACAAAACTGTCTATAAAACAACATAGTTTCATCCTTGTTACAAGTATATTTTAAGCTCGACGTGGTACGATAAGTTAATGAAGGGTTCTAGCGGACTGTAATAATGGGATTTGGCTGCTAATGAAGAGTGAGTCTTACTCACCAAAGGAAATTTAAAGGTGGCGCCAGTGAACGACAAGACCCATTGTTCCACATCTCTTTTTAAATTGTTTACTTTATTTCTCTGAACATTACAAATTTCATACAAATACAATTACTTGTAATAATAATAATTTTATGGTACTCTGAAAAGTGGGCGTCATTTTACAAAAAAATGAGAAATAATCTATATAATAGTAATCATTTCTAATTAGAATATCAATTACGTGTGTTCATTATTGGTGAGTGTCGATGACTGGTGTTACTGGAGATTTAGAGAAATTCTAGTTTGGGTTGTTTTTAGGAATAATTATAAAATATTTTTTTTTATGACACATACTCGTACGGTATAATCTTTTTTGAGGATTATAAATGTTAAGTAAACTAATCCCGTACCTATATAAATGTTTAAGTAAAAAAGTTATTTCAATTTACAGACGCATTTCGCGTAACGTGTCGATCTTGGTACATCACCTTCACAGTTTATTAAAACCAAAGATATAGAAAGAATAATATACATATATGATTAAAATCAACAAAGAAAAACGCGCCAAAAACATTTAAATTTAGAATTTCTTTTTTTATATAATATTGAAGGAGTAGGCTATTTGCCTCTATCTGTCGATTCGGGAGTCGACCCGAATAGCACGAAAGTAAGAGAAGTACGCGAAAACTAATGAAGAATATTATTTGATAGGTTAAACATGAAACTTTACTAAAATAATTGAATATATAAGTACAAATTATTTTGTTTTATAATATCAAATGACGGGACGAACAAGTCGTGCGCATGATGGTAAGCTACACGTCCATAACAGTTGAAGTGCCACTCAGAAGTTTAAATCGCAAAGATCTAACGAGCACTGCCTCTGCGCCCGTCACCCGGAGACATAAGTTGACAAGTCCCATGTGCCTATAATGTCACCAGCACCCTTAAGGCGCGTTCCCATTATGTCGCCACGTTTTATTTATCGTTAGACGACTGTCGCGTCTAGCCTGTTCCCATATCACGACTATCTGTCATAACTGTGTCATGGACGTTAATTTTATCGTTGAACGACTGACGTGTCTAGCTGTTCCTACTAGACCGTGGTGACAATTTATCGGTTCACGGCAGCCCCCTTGTCGTTTTGCACGATAGAATCGTTTGAAGCTGCGATTATCTGTCGTCACATTTTTTCGTAACGTTTTATTTATCGTTGGACTACTGTCGTTCTAGCACTTTCCATTGTCACGACAGTCTGTCGTAGCAACGTCAAAAAAGTCGTGAACGGCAGTATAATACCTTTAATATTTCAGACATGATTCAACTGATTGAACTGGAATATAGGGGGAAGAACAACACTCGACAAATTAGATACTCAATGTTACAAATACACATTCGCCCACATCTGACGTCATTCAGAGGCAGCTTCCGCTTTGCCGCCTCTAAATTTTGGAATGACCTTCCACCATCGATGAAGACGGCTGAATCTTTTTATACTTTCAAATTAAAATGCAAGGAATGGCTTATTTTGCAACAGATGTCGTCATGTTCCTGGTCGGTTGTGGAATAGTAATCCATATAGTGTGATAACAGTCATTTGTACCCTTTGTCGTCCTGATTAGATTTGTTTGTTTTTGCTTGATGTGTGTATTATTATCAAGCGTAACCAGTAAATGAATAGTTAATAGACAATTTTTAGATTAATGATGTTTGTTTTGTTGTAGTCCTTTTGTTCAAAATTATGTTCCGACAATTTCCGACAGAGAACACAGGCGGAGTCTGGAAAACAGTACTATGATGAGGCTTCGTCTTTTCATCGCTCAAAGCTCATAATTTATTGTTACATAATATGTTGTACATGTTCTATATTATGTACCTATGTGTGGGTGTGTTTGATGAACAAAGTCCTATTGTCCATTTAATTTTTAATTTCAATCGTGTTGTACTATATGTGAACAATTATATTTAAATATACAAGGCACGATACTTTAAACTGCACGACTATCTGTCGTGACAACATAATGAAAACGCGCCCTTACCGTTCAAAACTTGAACACAGTAATGCTGACATTACTGCTTGGCGGCAGAAATAGGTAAGGTGGCAGTACTACCCTGGACGAACTCTTTCATGAGGAGCTCTACTGCTACTAAAATTTAAAACTGTCTTTTTAAGACTATATAAAATTATACATATGTACAAAAAGATTTGTACCGACTACTGCGATTCGCTACAAGGCTTATAGCGATACTGTTTGGAGAGGTTCTAAAATTCGTGAATTGACCTTTAGTCACACACATTAATGTAAATGTAAATATGTGAAAAAAAAATTAGCAAAAAAAGTCTTTTTGTGCTCCTGATTTTAATCTGTCAATATATACTTCATAAGCCATATCACAAAGACACTCTTTTTGGTTCTAAACCATTGACTTACAAGTCAATGTTCTAAACCAAAATTCTATTGTCTGTGATACTCGTCACTGAACTGAAAAAATACATTATAGTTGTGTACACAGAACTATGAGTTTCGAAAAAAGAACGTCGTATTTTTGCTAATTAAAAAAAAATTCTTAAACCTTACTGTGTTCCAGAACAGAATAGCGTCACTAAAATAATATTTGTGAAATTATTACAATTCAAATTATTTTATTTCACGGACACTTCTATTCTATCTCTTTGTAGCATTTGTTTAGCTTTCGTTTGAGTTTATTGTCGTGGATGTTAACAATTTTACTCGCAGTAAAAGTGAAGTCTTAAAATCTCGTACATACATAATATATATATATAAACACGGTACTCGACTTTTAGAAGACTCATTATATAACGATTGCATAACATAGTATGAGCTTACGGAACTAAATCCCATTAAATGTTTCGAATTATATTGTGAAGTATACGCTACGCTTTCGTAGCTTAAGCATTAAACATTTTTGCTTAAGAGACTAATTTTGTTATGTCAAACAACTGTTTAATTTTACTTTACTATGTTTTTATATAAAATATTTTGTGAAAGAATACTAAACTATGACTTATGAATGCGGTCATATAAGAATATGACTGCATTCATAAGTCATTTCATAAATCACTTGTGAATGCGGACATTTCATGATTTTCTATAGACTACCGTATGTAGAACACCGTCCATATACGATCGCAGGCAGTCGCAACACATGTGTCTATGGAATATTAAAGAAAGTGCTTTAATACGAAAATCACGTTTTCACTAAATATTATGTGCATTATCCTACGGCCACACTTATGTAATCTGTAGATATTTTTAGTATAATTTTATTTCATCCCATGATGAGCAAAGGAATTTAGCACGTTTGTTTCCTTGCACATAATATATTCCTAAATTATTAAGACGCCAGCTCTACATTCTTAAAAATGTTGTTTGTTATTTCAACAGGCATCATCACAGCATGTCTGGCACAGAGTGGATGGAGACAAAGCTGGTCTTATGACTGCCTACAGCACGATACATTTCGTGGTCCAGAAGCACCACTTTGTTCGAGGAAAACTAAAGGTATGTTCTTACATCTGGCTCGCTTAGTGGTTAAATGGCACAGCTAAAGTACATTTTTATTCAAATTCGGACAGAATAAATTAACTTTATTGTGTTTATACAGCATTGGTGTGCACAGCCTCGTAAGAAAAAGGATGTCAATTTTGTAACATTTTATGGTAGACAAATTTAATTTTGAGGATAGACAAAGAAACCTATAGTAATACGTACTTAATTTTCGTTTATTTTTTTCAATATTTTCAATAAAACCATTTGTCGATTGAATTACAAATATTTGCCAAGTTTTGTTGCAACCGGGTGACATCCAATAAACCGGATTCCTCCCCTAATTTGCCATCCTTAGAGATGAAATATTTTTTTCCAATTTAAGGCACCCCCCTTCCAACAAAAAAATAGCCATCAAAATCGGTTCACAAACAATCGCATAACATACACACAAAAAAATATATATTGCAGTCTAATTGAGAACCTTCTCCTTTTAAGTCCGTTTACAATAATAATAATAATAAATGTTTATTTCAAACATAACAAATCCACAGAATGACCAAATTTAGAATTTAACAGTTGTATAAGATATTAACAAACTTAAATTATAAAATCTAATATAACTAGTACTTAATAACTAAGATTCAAGAGACGAGTCGCAACTGCAAGCTATAGCATTTGTAATGCTATTAGTGTTGTCTAAAAGAGAAAAAAAAAATTCTAAGCACACAGCAAACCCATCCTTACGCGCTAACAAAAACATTCCCGATGCACTGCACTATCTTGCCAATTTAAAAATAGCTCGATGGCATTGTACGTTTACTTAGTGATACTTGACCCAAAGACTACCCGTACACATAGTCTGACATTATGCCTTAAAGGACGTTATTTGACCTGCAGAGCTAAAAAGGCCGCATAGGCAGAATGATAATATGCTTAATTGACAATTCATATTATGAATTTTCAAACAGAACAAAAAACGCTATTCATCTAGGAAATGAAACTATTTTTCCGGATTTAAATCGCGTATATTTGTTTTTTCAAACAAACCGACGTTTCGGGCCCTTTACAGGTCCCATGGTCACGGTTGACTGCGTTCTAAGGAGACGTCCATAGAACACTGTCACATAGATGAATTGCGTTATATGAATTGTAAGAAATTCCTAATATGAATTGTCAATTAATCATATTATGATTCTGCCAATTCGGTCTTTTTAGCCCTGCTGATCTTAACAATGTACAAATCTCTTAGCCAACATTACCACGCTTTGCCAATGCCCTTCCTTCTCGCTTAATATTATCATTATCGCTATGGCTTTCATTACCTATGTGAACATGATAATGAAACTTATGTACCCTAATCAACTTACTTCTATTCAGACACATATCCCGGTGCTAAATCTGGTCCATTTTTGTATTTGAAAACTTGACTTGAACAAGTGCCTGTTAAATTTGCTGACTCGGTTTGTAGCTCAGTTTATAAGAGCGGTAGCCGCGATTAGTCAACAGACACGAACCGTCGAACCATCAATTCCAGTCGGATTGAAAGAATTTTCCTTTGTGTTTGTTCGATCTTTGCATCAATAATAATTATAAACCCCGCCATATAACTTTGCATATTCTTCACAGATAGAAATCCGTTTTTCTCAACCCTCTGATCAATGCACTAAGCAGCGTCAGAACATGCGGATGTTCTGACGCTGCTTAGTGCAACTAAGCTTATTGACATTCCTCCAATATGACAGCTAAGAACTTCTGCTCTGCTCATCGATGATTCCGTTAACACTGAGATTAAACAAGCCAGGAGAGCTTAAATCGCCCTGTTTAACTCAACAACTTGGTATCTAATCATCTAAACGCTCGTTTGATCATTTTACGAAGTTACTTTGATTCTTATACCAAAATCTAAACAAACTAATGCACACCTTAGACATTTTCCACAACAAAATTGTAATTAACTAAGCCAAAGGCCTCGGAAAGATTAAAAAAGCATGACAAACATTGCAACTCAGTTAGCAGTCGTGGTGGAAAACCAAATTGGGCATCATGTAAACACTTTTACAGAATAATGTCCAAAACTCTATCAAAAACCTTTACCACAACAGTCATTAATGTTATGATTTTGTAATTATTAATCGAAAATATGTCACCTGTCCTATTTTCAACAATTGGTACAACCACTTTGCAAATTAAGTCTGGTAGTATATGTTCATAATTGAGACAAAAGTTAAATAAAATATGCAAAAGTCTTGGCAGGCTTCCACAAAATATGAAATATTCCAGACTGAGGCTCCTATTCACATTTTTATAGTATATTTGATATCTTTCCCCTCATAACAAACCCATACAGTGTCCAAAAAGATCTCGTTGGTAATTGTTTGGTCTTATAATGTCCAACCTCGAAGCGGTCCAGCTTATCTTTTTTAAATAAGGTACAACCATGACCGCTGATCGCTATTGTAAGAAAAGCCGATGATTATAGCAAGTTTTACAGAGAAACAACGACGGCTAGTCAACCAATCTCCATCGCTATTCCTACGCGATAACGCCATAGTGCGTAATGCCAAACAAAGCATGTTCACCTTAGCAAAGTTCCAAATAATCCTTCCCAACCCTTCTTTTTATTACTTTTTATTAACTGCCTCCGTGGCCGAACGGTTACCATGCTGGACTGCCATCCTGGGTTCGATTCCCAGGCTGGGATAAATATGTGTATGGCCTACATTTATTTCTCTCGTGAGTTTGGGTGTAATTTGTGGTTGTCTATGTGTGTGTCCATGGCACCCGAGACACAGGGTTTCCCTAATGCGGGGCTATGTTGAGTGTGTGCGTTATTATTATTATTATTATTACCTGAGGGATTCTGTTTACAGTTAGATTCCCCCGGACTGCGGCTAGTAAGACTTGTAAGGCCCTAGCTAGCTAGTAAGCCTCGCCGAACACCACACGAGCCTTCCATACTGGACAACGAACTCTCCGGAGTCATATTCCAGCTTCCAGAAATATGTCACATACGTTTTGTTAGCGATTTTAATATGTAAATTTTATTTTATAAAATATTTTCTATTTGAATTTTCATAATCGAGTCGCAATTTCATACTTTACATGAATACTTAAACGGTGGTTTCATTATGTGAGTATTCTCAAAATTCCCCATTACAAATATAATTTTATTTTGAACTTTTAATTTGCAATATAGGTCGGAGTTGTTCCAAAGTACCTCTTCTAAAATCTGGATTGACATGTCTCCTCCTGTGAGCGTGGCAGCGTCTCAATCCCTGCCAACATTTCAAAGAAAATTTTCTCAACGTTTATTTAATTTGACAAACAATCCCAAGATGTTTTTTTTAATTCGTTGCCTAGGTTAATTTTAAATATATATAATTTTAAATAACAATTTTAAAAGGGAGTCCACCTCATACATACGTCTTTTAATACGAGTACCACACAAAAATAGCGAAATAATATCAACATTTTGTACATTGATATTAATAGATAATGTTCATTTTATTTCATCATTTTGTGTGTTGATTTATTATTGTTTGCTTTGATTTTTATTTTACTATTTCGAATTTTATGTCATTGTGAAATAAATTGGTGTACGTGTTTCTACCTCTAAAAGTGCCTACAAATTGGCACGGTATTTTACATTTCACTTGTGAAGGTTAAAATCGAACTAATTGATATTTGAATCATAATTTAAATTATATGAAAGCATAATTTAAATCACGCGGTGTCGATAGTCAAAAAATACGTTATCAACGTCTATTGCTTACACATTTACTAGATTTTGTCCGATCACACGTGTCGGGCAATGCAGCATAACCAGAAAGGGTTAGCTGTACATATGTGCTGTATGTAGCTAATTCGTAGATCCACTTGATATAGTACTATATTATTACCTTTACGTTTACTAACGAAAAAATTATATTTTATCTCAATATTTATCCCTTGAGTTTTATATATATTAAGATTACATCGTAAGGGACTTTTTCGATTAAGGAAGAAGGTTTTTCTCAACAATACATGAATAATTCAGTATGTTAGGAAAGGGTAAAAAAATACTTGGGAATTTATTTACTCAGAAATATAAATAATTAATTTTTGTCCTACTCACGTTTCTGAACCCATGTATACGTACTGCTACTTTTTGAACAAAAAATATTGTAAGTCTAATTTTATTTGTTATATAAGGAAAATTAGAAAGTTCAGCTTTTCCAAATATAACAAATAAAATACGAGTTATGTTTTTTCCACAAAAAATTACTTTAAATCGCTCTCCTGTAATAATTTCCAAATATACGTTAGATGTTTTACCTTTTCAGCGTCAATAAAACTTTCATACAAATCGCGAGTCATGAAAAGTCTTTATTTTTGGCATCAATAATATAATGGAAGGGTTTTTGGTGACTAATTTGAACTAAATCATAACTAAGAGACGAAGTGTTTTTGTAAATTGATTTCACAATTTCACAATGAGGTTCTCAAGTTACAAGTGAATGATACGCATAGTAATTCAAAGCAAATATTCACACTGATTTTGCCTTGTTAGACTTAGACAAAGGAAACCAACCCTTGTAGAATAATTAATACCGATGTTAATATTAATGCTAGTGTGCCTACTTAATACCTACTGTTATGTGCATAATCATAATGCTTAGAGAGTGTTTTTTTTTAATAGGACAGTAAGGGGAAATCCGAATGTTGTTCATTTTGTATGATTAAAAAAAATAAAATTTGATCAATTTCTGCTGTCCCGACTTTTTCGTCCCATACAATGAAATCATCCATAAGAAGCTGAGATTCGTATTCCAGAACTGTACTCAATACTCAAGTCAGGACTTGAGTATTGCAGTGAGCACTGAAAATCATACTCAAGTCCTTGCCAATAGGGTCGTATTTCCAGTGCTTGAAATCATACTCAAGTCTGCTCAAATCCTGACTTGAGCAGTGAGTAAATTTTATTCATTTTGAATTAAAAAAATATTTTTTTTCAATTTGTCCAACTTCTGCTGTCCTGATTTTTTCCGTCTCTCACAATGTAATGATCCCCTCATGAAACTGAATCGAACAGCAGTTTTATTCATTTTTATGGACAACTCATGCTTGACCAAAAAACTGAATACTAAACTTGTTTTCACAGAAAAACACTTAATGGTACCTAAGACAGTTTCCTTGTATCTTCTATGGTTTTGAATTTCCCCATACTGTCCCGTTAAAAAAAAACACTCTGTATATGTGGACTTTCGTTACGAAAATTCAATATAGTGTGTTTTTGTATTGGATCTTTACGATGAATTCCGAGGAGGAGATAAAAGGAAACCGTTTTAGAAACCAGGTGTTTATTATTGTGATAACAATTTTGACATAGTTAATTTTTTGGCCAAGCGTTAGTTGTCCATATAAATTAGTCCTATTGACATTTTTGTAATGCTAATCGTGAGTCGATTAGCATAAAAAAATGTCAATATGATTTTCTGGTAAAATCATTCCATATTACACTTTCGTTAGAATATCGCCTCCAGATCTATATATATGCAGGTACGGGCGCGTATCAGGACATCTCTAGTGGTGAATGTTGTTCAAATCATAATTGAACGACGTCATATATGCTCCAGTAAGTAGTTGTATCGGGATTGTATCGGGATTCGTAAACTAGACCCTTATGGTTACCCCATATGGAAAAATCCATTGCGTCGTATCCGGTGAACGTGGTGACTATTTTATAGACTAGAGATAAACTAATAATAATACTTGAGTCACAGTTAAAACATGTTGGTCCTAAATTTGGAGTCTCAGAATAATGTAGGTCATAAATATAAAATGTTTTCAAATTTAGTACAAAGAGTTTGTAAGAACATCTTTATAGTTCGTAATTCTGAGCAAAAACTTTTAAGTAACATAAAAACGTTCCATATTTCAATTTCCTGTATCGATATGAAATTCAAATGTGAAACATTTTTTAAATAATTTGTGCACAAGTAAGTAATTCAGAACAACGGATTAGAGCATTTTACAATTGTATGAAAAAAATTATTGAACTTTAAAAAAATTTCAATATTATTAATTTTTGGAGAAATTAAACTTAACTTTTAAACAAGTTAATAACATAAAAAGATATTACAATATTTAACTTATTTTGGAGATATTAAAGAATTCCATCTTACGATTATAATCGAGTTCTTAGGTTTTCGCGATTGTTATACATAGGAAATGAAACTATTTTTCCGGATTTAAATCTGTCAACCGTGACCATGAGACTTGTAAAGGGCCCGAAATGTTGGTTTGTTTGAAAAAAACAAATATACGCAATTTAAATCCAGAAAAATAGTTTCATTTCCTATGATTATAATTGACTTTTCAAAATAAGCCATTTCTATTAACTGCCTCCGTGGCCGATTTTTTTTATACAAATGTATAACCACTCAATAAGAGAGGCGATATAAGCGTGTGAGAACTGGACACAACTCAGACAAAACACAGTTACGTAGGACCAATGGAATTCCATCTAGCCCGCTAGCTTTATGCATGTCTAGATTCCGCAGAGTTCTAAATACCTCATTTTGGCGTATGCGAACTGGTTGTCACGCTAGTCTGCCACGCAGAGGTCCCGGGTTCGATTCCCGGGCCGGGAGAAATATTTGTGTGGCCTACATTCATTTCTCTTGTGACTTTGAGCGTAATTTGTTGTTGTCTGTTTGTCTGTGTGTGTCCATGTCACCCGCGATACAGAGTTTCTGTAGCACGGGGCTATGAGTGAGTGCGTTATTGTTATTATATTATTGAAAAATGAATAACTTTCTCTTGACTTAATGACAACTGATAGATTCTTGTTGTAATAAAATTACATTGGGCATTGTAATGCCCAACGCCATGCCAAACGTGATAGTACCAAATGATGTTTATTAAAAACATTTTCCCAGGTCCGGTGTACAGCAATAATATACACAATATACAGGAAGAGCGAAGAGAAGTGTGCAGAAGAAGAGCGGGTACGAACGACGCCTGCTAGTCCACCCGAGATCCATGAAGCTGTAATATACTCTGTACATCGTCGGCTACCAGAGACCAGTGAGTAATATTATAATCATTGTTAGATACGTTTCGCGCTCATTTGGGGCAACATTGTCGTAATTGTAATTGTGGCATATTGATTTAAGTATGTTAACACAGTAATATATATATATATTATTATATGTGTGTATATATACACACACACACATATAATATAATAAAATTTAAAGTTACTGCCGATTTTCCTTCAAACGTAAACGCTTTGTGTTACAGTATATAAATTATATAATTATATATAAATTATATTATATATTGTAAAAATACACAAAGTTTTTTTACGCGTCATTATTTTGAATAAAATTTAAAAATCAATTAATATCGATTTTCTATAACATTACAAGAAATACAGTTGCGTCAGTGTAGTGCCAAATAGTAAATTATTACTAAGGCATTTATAATTACATGAGGCTCTTAATTAAGTATTTAAAATCAATTTTAAGGTCGAATATAATATGTTAAATAAAACACAAACGACGATAGGATTTAATATATATTACCACTGCGTGATATTTGTTTTACTTATTTTTTACTTCCTCCTCAGTACTTTGTATTTCGTCATTACTACTAACATGACTATCCTAGGGGTTGGGTGCCTGGAGACCCATATTACAAGCTCTGCTTAGTTTGGGCTCCAGTCTCCCACAATACATTACTCTAAGCTTACGTAATAATGTATATTTACTGTAATTGTAACGTTTCATTGTATTGTGTTGTGGAGATAAATAAAGATATTTATTATTATTATTTATTATTATTATATTTAGCCTTCTAAAGCAATGTTTGCAACAACATCTAAACTCCAAAATAAGGACTTAAGTTCCTTTTCTTCTTCCACAAATAGATACAAAATTATACTTTATTCAACTTTTAACATAGAAACGCCTTCAATAACGAATAAAATATCAGCTGTTTTGTACTTGCCTCAAATGTATGGGCACTGCTTTTTACACGAGTTGAGGATCCGTTCAGTAAAAAATATTCATATATTTGTGAGTAAAAAGACACCATAAAATATCGTGAAAAAAATTTACCCTATATATGACAATTGAATAAACCAATCAACGGTCCTTGTACTCAAATGAGTACACTTACATTTTTAAATAAATATTCTATGTATGATAATAAGTTTTATTATTCAGTATCATATATTTTTGGTAGCTATAACATTGCTATTATTTATGATAATGAGATAATAACGAAACGTGACTAGTTATAAACTTTACCATAAAATTTAGCGTAGCTATATATGCAATATGTTGAGTTGCATTCTCGCCATATTTAAGAAATTAATAATATAAATAATACTAAATCATCAAAAATATTTAAAATAATATTCTGTTCTGATTGAAAGCTGAAAATTTTCTGAAAATTGTCTTTAAATCGTATGCACCACCCGAGGGCAGCAACTCCGAGCGCTCGGCCACTCGGCATTTCACCGAAAGATGCGTAATCTTTCTCGATCGGTTAATTTCTATTTTTAATTATTATGATTACGTATTGTTATAATTTATTAATTATTTACAATAATCAGGAAAGTCGACTGAAATTCTTTTTTGTAATTTATATTTGGTACTTACCAATTTTAGGTTACCTACATGAAGGAATTACTAGAAGTGTCCACCACCACTGCACGATTGTCGAGAGTTCCGTTTCAGCTTTCTGAGCACTAGACTTGACAAATTTGAAAGCTGAGATGGTTATGCGCGGAATTGTTCGGCACCCGTAATCTTCTCCGTGTAAAGGTTTTACATCACTCCATAAGTAATAGTCACGCACTTGCCGTCCGTAATGAGAAGGAGCACTACCTTGATGGTAATACAGTTCTGATAAACAACAAAAATCTCTTGTTTACATAACAAACTACGCGACATTTCGCGATAGACTAGAATTGCGGCGGGCTATCCCGGTGCGTGAGTGCTCACTCATTGATTAATGAGGCGCGGGCTCTTGAGAAAGAGCTAACAACACCGACGGCTCTTTTGTCGGTCCTCTGTTTGGTAGCCACCTTTGGATCAGGTGATGGTGAATCGATGTTTATCGCAATGAAATAACAAATAAGAATTCACGAATTTTTGCGATTAATTTTTTTTAGTGATTTGGATTCAGTTTCGGATATAGAATAATAACCTCTGTAAATATGGCGAGAATGTAAATCAAAACATTGTATTTATAATTTCGCCGGTGAGTGTTTATTTTATTAGATTTATTTTATTCAATAAGTAAATCTGCTTTCCAGTAATAAATATTTTTTTAGCAACGGATGTTTACGTAGACAGCTTATGTGCTGTACTCAGTTGAGTACATTTGCCATTGGTATACTAAAAATAATAATACTTTGCAGATCAGTGACAATGAATAAAAAATATTTTAAGGTCGTTAGTAATTATAAAGGACTTGAACAAGTTGTTCAAGTTACGAGAGGCGGTTGAAAAGATTAATCTCTTTTGGCCGTTTACAATGAAAAATAATACTGGCCACTATCGTGGCGTGTTAGCCGGTTATTCTTTTTCAAAATTAGTCACGTTCTTTTATTTATTACGTGTCGCTTTGCGTATCGGAAAGAGAAAGCAAAATGTTTAAAATTGAGACTACTTTTTTAACAGACTAATGGTCCTGTCTTAAAAATTAATACGTGCATTTCCATAGGTATTGAACGAAAGTAGTCATGATTGTTTTTTATTTATACATACTTATATTTGGTTTTTTATAAAGTAATATGAAAAAACGTAAACAAAGAATCAATGATCGTAAACCTTTTTCTTCAGTCAACAAATTACAGTAAAAAAAATATCGTGCGAATCGATGACAAATGACAATCTAATATGTGATTATTTTATGAAAAGTTTCCGTTTAATGTTTGGACGCTCTGTTTCTGTAAGTTATTTAAAGTGCGTTTTTAAAATAGATCACATGTTTAGAGAGATTTTTTTCATTTATTTTATAAGAGTGAATACTACGAAAAACACTTAATAATTACATAAAAGTAGTAAATCTGTTTTGAGAGTTTTGTTTCACGGTATTACTAAATTACTTATATGTATGTATAGCCTGCAAAATGACTGAATAAAATGGCACCTGCTAAAAGACCCAAAATCCCTCTACATAATGCTAAAAAAGCATAAGTAGATAAAATGAAAAACAAAGCAGGATAGTGATAATGATGGCGAATGTGGCTTGAAAATCACACCACTTAATTTGCTACGTTTTCTGGCGAAGAGGGAGGAGGAGATAAAGTGATGTAGACTCATTCGTAGTGATGATAAATTGGTCGAAAAACGGGTTTCACTTCAGTGACACGAACAATTCCCGGTTTTTGTCGTGAATGTTCACCAACATACTATTCCAACCGTCAGATAACTTTAACGTAACCGACAAACTAGATGCAATAAAGAAAGAAAAAAATGTATTTTCCATATTTATAAAAAGTTTTACCCTTTTTTAGTTTTGTCACATAATAACATTTGATAAGAAAAATATTTATATAATATTTCATTTAAATGTAGCTCTGAATGACACGTCACTCGGCCCACGTTGATACTTACTGTTGCGTGACATTGTGTTTATTTAATTAAGACCAAAGACTTCCATCCATAAACAAGAACATTCACAGAAAGTTTGTTCCAAACAAAACACTATCGATAGTGATAATGTTTTGTTTATAGTGTTATTTTGTCAAAGAGTACTGTTGTACCGTGCACAGACGCGACTGACTATACCTGTTGAGAATGAGCAAGGCAGACAGATGCTATTGAGATAAATTATCGTCATTATATAATAATACAGAACAAAACCAAAACAGATTTATCGCGTATCTGTGACAGGTCATTCCCCTTTTTGGTACTAATATTTTTTTAAATGTTTTTACAATATGAAGCTCACAAAATGGCATTATTTAATTGTTTCAAAGTTGAGAACATACGAATTACTAAAAAACAAATAAAAAGAAAATACAAATTAAGTTAAAGAAAAAAATACTGTCGAGTTTTTGAAATTATTGATGTTATGTTATAATTCGAAAAGGCAAAATCTTTAGACCATGCAGCCTAATCTTTTTTTTATATCATTAATATTTATAGGTAACTGTTTTGTTCATATTATGTGTATATGTTCTGTCATTGTGTAGTCAGAATACTCGGTTGCTTATTAATCTATGATATTATGTTTTGTCTTGTTTTAATACGCGTTCTTACATGCATGCGGAAAAATGGTTAGTGTGAAATTTCGTATTTGGCGAAATCAATTGTAATGACTACCTGCTCTTACTCATTTTAACAATCATTCTTTTCAACAATTACTCTTTTGTCCTTGTATTATTACAACGATAGGGAAAAAATACATTTCTTATTTATTCGAATTTCATTTAATTTTTTCCCTACTGTAGGAAAAATTTGTAAAGAGATTGTATCTAATAGTTTCGGTGTATTTGGGTGTACTACATTATGCGCGATAAACGCGATACCGGCAAAGACCTTGAAAATGTGAACAATACCAATAATTATTGTCGCCCTTCTGCACCCTTCATTTAACGACTTTAATTTGCTACGAGGAATTCAGGGTTTTTAGTACAAAGTATATAATTGGATAAGGCATTCTTCCTCTATATACAACCCTTGTAGGCCGATTTAGGGGATTAAACTTTTTAATGAACGTCATGTTTAGAAACATTTCAGTCTCTCTCGGGGCCGATATTTCGTTTTAATGAGCTGTGAGAATTGCGTAACTCAAATACAAAAAAGTGCTTTTCTTCTCGTGTTACACAACCGATAGCAATTTGATAACAAAATAATTGTAAACCCCTCTCTAGTTACAAAAAGATACGACCACAATGGCTGCCTTTCTATATAAATAGATTTTTTCAGAAACAGACGGTCCGTCCAGTCAATATTCGTAGTACGTAGTCTAAATATGTCGCTAGAAGCAAAAATAGATCTTTGTCGGAAAAATAAAGATACAACCTTATTTTAGATCTACTCTATTTAGTCCTAAGATTAACAGAA